TTTTAAAAAGAAGAAGCCGCAGGAATCCCGTGGAAGGACTGCTGGGAAAACACAGGGACTGTTGCCGTTTCGACTGTGATTATTCACAAGGCTATTAGGAGCCGGATTATGATGAAATTGTGGCGGGCACAGATGGCGGCTTTGCTTTGAAGCCTTCTTTGATTCCTTTTCATCTTCTTCTTCTTTTTAAAATAATTCTGCATTGTTCTCTCTAGGTTTTATTATTGGGTTCGGGGGGCGGGGATGGCGCCTTCTCTGTTTGCTCGATAATTGTTCTTTTTTTTTCCCTGACGTCCCAAGATTTGAAATGTTACCTTCCGCTCTCTGGAACGGGGTCAAAATAGATGTTTCTGTGGCGGTAACAGCTGGAATATTGGCACTGCTGGCATCATTGGGTTGGTGAAGAAGCGCCTTCTCTTAGGCCGGGCCCTTAAACCTTCAATTCATGGGTTGATGGCTACGTCTTTTATTAGCCCGAGGAGGGGAACAGGGATGCGTTTTGCATGCACGCATGCTATCCGCCCTAACGTGCACTTCTTCCCCGTGCGCTGCATGCACAACTGCACGATCCGTGCATGCACACAGCTTTTGTGCGCCCCCATGTGCTGCATGCACAACCATACCACCTGAGCATGCATGCAGATTTCATGTGGCTCCCCGTGAGGTATTCTCACTTGCGCATGCCCAATTGCGTGCGCATGCACTGGAGAGCTCCCAAGGCCAGCTGAGTTCCCTGAATTGCACTCCTGTGCACCAGAGGCCTGAAGACCAGCTGGGGCGCATGCACAGCTGCAGGTGAGTTGGGCGACAGCTCGTGTACCCGGAAAGACGGCTCTGCGTGCCACCTGGGGCACCTGTGCCATTGGTTCCCCATCATGCCCGGATCTAGGATTTGGAAAGAACCATTTCGTAGGGAAAATACCATCTCCGAAGCGGAAGGCTTTGGATTTTCATCTTAAAAGCTGCAGAGCTCAGAGCAGGAAAATTGACGCACTTACCGACCCATAATTTATTTTGGGAAAATGGCAGGAAGTTGCAAGGAAGCAGCTAACATTTCTCTCAGGTGGAAGATTCTAGAATGTTGTCTTCTAATTTGACCCTTTCGCCTTGGTTTTTATTTGAGCGGCAACGGAATAAAATGGAGACTTGTCTAAAATGCTCTTTTACTGAGAGCGGAATTAAACATTTCAACCTCGCCTGAGTTTTTGTGCTGCTCCGGTTGTTAGAACGAGTCGCTTCCCAGTCATGCTTCATAAGGCCATTTCTGGCATTAGAGAATGTACATCACACCTTTCCTTTTCTCTAAACTGTCAATATTTATTCAACTGTTTCCACCTTGATAATAAACTGCTGTGCAGTGCACAAACTTGCCAAAACATAAAATATGTATAAAAGTAAACAAGTACCTGCTATAGTTAATAATGGATATTGTTTATACTCTGGTTGGCAACCAACCTTTTTACCCCTTCTGACTCTATCTATCTATCCATCCATCCATCCATCCATCCTTCTTTTTTCTTTCTTTCTTTTTATCTATCTATCTTATCTATCTATCTCCTTCCTTCTGTCCTTCTCCTTCCTTCCTTTCCTCCCTCCTTCCTTCCCCTTTCCCTTCCTTCCTTCCTTTATTTCCCTTCCTTCCTTCCTTCCTTCCCTCCCTCCTTCCTTCCTTCCTCCCTTCCTTCCCTGCTTGCTTATCATTTCTTTCATTTAAATGGACATGACTGATCACTCAACATATGGCCTTGGGCAGCTATTAATCATTAAAAATAAACAGTAGTCGGCATTTTGCCCCCAACAATCTGGTTCCTCATTTTACCGACCTCGGAAAGATGGAAGGCTGAATCAACTTTGAGCCAGTTCAGGATTGAACTCCTGGCTGTGGGCAGAGTCGACCTGCAATACTGCCTTCTAATCACGGTGCCACCGGGGCTCTGAATGAGTGAAGGTTGTACCCGTCTGGCTGAGAACTTTAGAAAGAGCCCAGTTGCATTTGACAAATCATTGCGGATAATAGCCAAGTATCCAGTTATCAAAAAAAAAAAAAACCTTTGTAAATCAAGGAAATATAGATTGTATATCTTCGTTACAAAAAAGTGATAGAGAAAAGAATGCAACTAAACTAAAAGAAAAGCTACTAAGATGATTAAAGGCCTGGAGACTAAAACATTTGAAGAACATTTGCAGGAATTGGGTTTGGCTAGTCTAGGGAAGAGAAGGACCAGGGGGGACATAAGAGCAGTCTTCCAGTATTTGAGGAGGGGGTCTTTGTCACAGAGAAGAGCGGGTCAATTTATTTTCCAAAGCACCAGAAGGGCAGGACTAGAAGCAATGGATGGAAACTAATCAAGGAGAGAAGCAACCTAGAACTAAGGAGAAACTTCCTAACTGAAGCCAATTGACGCCATCAGAGGTTGTCATGGCCAGAGGTCTTTAAGAAGAGATTGGATAGTCACTTAGACTTAGAGTAACTTTATCGTCACTTTAGTGTAAATGTGTTTTTATTTTCCATTTTCATTTTGTGCAGTCGCATATATACTGTGCGTAACCGGGGCCATATAACATTAAACAATAAACACAGCCATTCCTCTTGTCAACGAAACCCCCCCACCCAAAATAGAAACCCAATGTACCTCTTCGACCCTCCATACACCCTTTCTTTCGCCCCCCTCCAACTTTCCATCTTCCCTCCAACATTCCCCTCTTTATTCTCACTTTAAATGTACACTAATCCAGTGTTTCTCAACCTTAGCAACTTGAAGATGTCTGGACTTCAATTCCCAGAATTCCCCAGCCAGCATTCGCTGGCTGG